CGGCACCGCCGCAGCAGCTGCCCCTTTGCAAACGCACCCTGTGAGGTGTTTTTTGTGGCGTCGCGGGGAGCTGTTTTGGTGTTTGGCATTAGCTGGATTTGAGGAGGAAGAGGGGTGAAGATGATGAGGTGCCTGTTTCTGCAGCTGCTACGGCACGCCTGGAGAAGCTGTCCCGCACCGCTGTGCCCATAAGCTCATTAGCTGTTCATCTTTATTTCCAGAGCCTCTCCCGAGGAGGCTGCTGATCCCTGTGGTGACTGCCCTTGTCGCTGGATCTCAGCTTCAGCACTCTTCTTCCTTCATCAGCCCTTCTCAGAGCAGAGAGTGACCCGTCACCACCGCCGTTGTCTTAGCACCGCACTTAAAATCTCTCCCGCAGCTGAATGTTGGTGAGAACCAGAGTGTTACAGCAGAAGCAGGAGCCCAAGGAGCTTCTTGGGTCCATGCTGAATTTTATGGGCTTGGCGTACAGCCGTGGGCAGCGCTGGAGCCAGATGTGTTCTGAGCTGAGTGTCAGGAGCTGGAGGACGTGAAGTGCGGGGTTGGGGAAGGCGGGGACTCGGCCGAATGTCCCGACTGAGAGGTGGGAGACACGAGAAGTCATGGTGCAGGTAGCTGCTGCCAGTGTGAGGCCGCAGCTACGCGCAAGGCTCTGTCGTGCAGGGTGGGAGAGCTCTGACCTGTGCTTCGCCGTGGTGCTGAGAGCGTGGCGTGGCTGAGGGTGCTCGTCTGCTAAAAATCGAAACCTTAAGGATGACTCGAGCCGTTCCTGGGGTGTTTTTCCTTGGACGGTTTGTCAGCTGGGTCAGGACTTCGCCTGAACGAAGCACGAAGGCTGTGGTCTTAATCTCCAGGAAGCTCATTGCAGACCTTCTTGCAGATTTCCTTGTCATCTCGACAGGCACATAGTTGGGAAATTCTAAGAAGTCTTTGCAGAAAGTGAGTCATTTGGCGTACAAATGGGAGAAGTGAAATGTTCCTGTCTGTGTCTTGGGGATCTTGCTCGTTGGCGGTGGCATGATGGGGAATTTTGCTTTGTCGATCGCATGCTTCATCCTCAGGGTCTCCCGGAGTTTGCCGGCGGTTCCCGTTCTTGCGGAGAACGTGTGCTGATGGTGTTCCCGGGTTCAAACACTGCTGGTGAGTGAGACATTTTCTGGACCGTGCTGGTGGAGAGAGCAGGTTTGGGGGAGCGAGTTGGGTGCTTCGACAGCTCATCCTCCTTCCAGCCAGGGGACCGTGCCAGCTTGCAGCCACTGCTCCCTCAAGTTTCCAAGAGGCTTTTAAATTCATTATGGTGAAGAAACACCAGTCTGCTGTGCCCCCCAGCATGTATTTTTTGTGGCAGGAGGTTGCCGAACCACAGGCTGAAGGTCTTCTATTAAGCATAACCTGCTGTAATTCCCGGAGCCTGGCTTCCCCCGTAGCACCAGGCGAGCCCCAGCGGGCAAGAGCCGAGGCTGGCAACGTGTCCCCGCGAGCCCCAGGCGAGCCCCAGCGGGCAAGAACCGAGGCTGGCAGCGCCCGATCTCGCCCCGCACGTGCTGGGGTTGCTGCGCTTGCAGTGGTGTCGGCAGGCAGCAGAGCGTGCCGCTGCCTGGGGTCACGGTCCCAGCCCAGGCCCCTCTTGGCTTGCATCTTCGGCATCGTGCTGGACTGTGGGCTGCGGCACGGGCGCGTGTTCCCTCTGCTGCGGTGAGACGATTGCCGTCAGAGACGAGGTAGCGAGTGCTTTGGGGCTGTGTTGCCTTCAGCTCAGCCAGCGTGAGCCCTTGGTCCCAGTGAGCATTGAGCTAGACCGACCTGAACCGGCACCAGGAGGAGAACAGCTTCCCCCTGCTCCCTGGGGTGATGTGGAGAGCGTTTGGAGCCCTTGGCAGCGCCGTGTGGGTGGGGATGCTCCTGCTGGAGGGACAGCGTGAGGAGGCTCCGCATTGCCCAGTCCAGCAGCGCCCTGAGCAGCTTCAGCACTGCTTGGTGTCTGCCCGCCGGCTTCGGGGCTTTCCTGCGGTGACCTTCCTGTGAGGCAGCTCGCGTCCCCGGCGGGGCAAAGAGGAACACGGGCTTGCCAGCCGTCCTGCAGTGGAAGGTGACAGAACCTCGTGCTCTGGGTTTAACCACATCCACTTTCGGTGGCGGACAGCGGGGAGAAGAGATCTGTCAGAGGAAGACACTCCTGAAGTCTGGCAGACCTTGCTGGGGCTGGCGCGTGCCTGGCTGCCGTCTCCATCCGCAGCAGTTTGATCTGCCGTGAGCAGAGTTCTCATCTACTTCCCTTCCAGTGCAGAAGACAGCCGTGTGCGGTTTGCGGCGCCTGCTTCGTGGAGGGAAGGATTCGCTGGGTCTGCTCGTTGCCTGTCGCGTCTGGACGTCCTTTGCGTCAGGTGCGGAGGGACGCAGCCGCGCGGTCAGCTCCGCAGCCCTCTCTGGGACCACGCAGGTCCCCTGGAAGGGTAAAGGTAGCGCCTTCATCTCCTCTTCCAACTCCAAATGGAGGCAGAAGCTTGAGGAGCAAAGTACCCAAGTGTCCCGTAGCCTCGGGAAAAGTGCCTTCGGCTCTCGGATCCCGCAGGTCCGTGGCTGTGTGAGCAGCGCCTGGTTCAGCTGTGCTCCTCTCACCTCGCCGGCTGCCGCCGACGTGCCTCCTCGAAGCCTGCGGGAGCGACAGAGAGAGAGCCGGCAGTGGGTGTTACCGGATTGCAATGAATGAAATGATGCGCTTGCAGTCTCAGTGTCGGGCGTCTCGGCTCCTGTCCTCACCCCCTCCCAGGGCTTGGTGTTGGCCTGGTCAAAATGCCTGGCAGCAGAAGTCACCGCGGGCTGAGGAGGGTGAGGGGAGGAAGAGGAGGAAGCTGGCCATGTGCTTGTTCTCGGTCTGCTGGCGGAAGGGAAAGCACAGTGTCTGAGGTCTTCGATGGGAAGTTAGGCTGAGGCCCTAGCTCCGGTCTGGCTGGGGCTGAGTAACTCAACACCAGCCTTGGCTTTTGCAGGTGGAGCGGTGCGGCCTGCGGCCTGGGTCACCCGAAAGCCCCCGCTGCCGGCTGCTCTGCCCATTGCTGCTGGAGCTGGACCTGAGGTTGAGCGTGGGACGGCAGCCGCATGCCCCTGCCTTCGTCCTTCTCCCTCCAGGGCAGGACTGGGGCGTGCAGAGCAGCCGTGATGGCCTGCCGTCCATCCTGCTGCGGGCAGACAGAGCCTTCTCCACGGCTGGGGTCTGGCTTTTGCTCCCCATCCACCATGGATCCCACTCGGGCGGCGGCACTCTCGGACCTTGCGGGCTGGGTTTGATTCTGGGCGGGTGGAAGTGATCTGGGACAAGCGAGCAGCACGTGAGCGTCCATCAGGTGGA